ATCTCACTGGCAAGTTAAGGAGACCAAAATTTATAAACTATTTAAAAAAAAAATAGAAATACTCTTATATACTCTCTTTATAAATTCCTTTAAAAGTTCCTACGAAATTAAGAATTTGATAAAAATTTAACACGAGTATCAAAAACGTAAACGATGTCTTCAAAATTCTAATTAGAATGAAATTTCAGATGCACGTTTTCTCGCATAAAGAAATGTGCAGAAATTAGAAATAATTTTAAATAATAATAAATTTGTATACTGCGGAAAGGTAGAATAAAATTAATCAGGTGATTTAGAAAAAGAAAATTTTCAATCGTAGTATGCGCAATAGCATGAGAAAGTAAAAAATGTGAAAGTTAAAAATGATTATAACGCGAAGCCTTGAAACGTCTTAGGATTAAGACGATATTAATAAAGAATTTTAGGGTCCGAAAGAGATGTCTCCTTAATTCGGCCACTATATTTGCTAAACTTTCTATAATGTACACGATATACGTATATAAATACACGATATACGATTATAAGATATTATGTATATGTGTGACATCGATTTTTCTAGGATTTCGAAAAAGCGAAAAGCTTTTTAACTTTCTGACGTCATACGAATTCTATCTGCGTACAAAAGTAGCCGTACTGCCAGCTACAATAAAGAGTCCGCTTTCAACCCCGTTTAATTAAAAGTGATGTTTGACGAACGTGCTATCAGATGTATCGTTTAATCGATATCCACATGCCGTATACTCGGCGATATCTGTCGCGTGGGGAAACGTAATATCATATTTTGCAAAATATGACGAACAGATTGACGATGAATTGGAAGTACGCATCAGAAATATTTTATGTGACAGAAATATTGAATTAATTCAAACCTTGCGCGGTAACTGGAAGTTCAATTATACATATATGTATAGGCAGCTTCAATTTATTGTTTCGATACAATTATATTTATGTAAAAGCAAACAGAGTCGGGACACCGAATCAATCAATTTCATGAAACTGATACATATAAATTCGTATAAATTATCAGAAAAAGATAAATATTGGTATTGTATCAAAACTGAGATTGACGTGAGCATGCATTATAATCATTAACGTCGTTATGAGAAAAATACATGTGCTTATAAAAATACAATATGTCTAAATGGACATATTAACATCTTTAAGTGAAGCTTTAGAAACTATAAACTTTTGATTTGTATAATATTTTATGATCCTTTTTACATAATTTTAAGAGATAAAAATAATGTCATATTTTTTAAAATTTTTCGTTTTACTGTCATAAAAACATATTAATTTATTCATACGATAATGCGTAGTAAAAAATTGTTAATTAATTCTTCATTTTATGTCATTTGATATTTGATAATAATTGTGCTTGACAAGTTTCAAAATAATTTTTATTTCTTTTAATGTAAAACTGTAAATTTTTAAATACTATCAAGCAATCTAGGATGATATACAAATTGCGACTCAACTATTCGAGCTTCAGCTAAGAACATTCCGTAAAATTGATTCCAAGAATCAATGTTGCTTTATTTTACTTTATTCGAGGTAAACTGCACAAGATAAAATCGTCACGATAACTACTCAAATGAAGAAAAACTCTTGTGCAAGCAAGTCGAAAAAATATGTTTTTATTATGTAATGGCAATAACAAGTTCATTCTTATAACTTACAACTTATTTACTGTTTATAATTCGTTTCATCGATAGATAATTTCTATTATGTGCAATACTATTCCTCTCTCTTTCCAGCTTTTATATTCCATATTTTACAATATTTATCTTCTATTATTAGCACTGAAGTGTGTAACTTACGTTAAAATACCTTTAAAAGCCAACACTAGATGGTTATATATGTACATAAATTTATTCTCATAAAACAATAAATATTTCAATTCTCGAAATGGGTCAACCTCAGTACATAAAATTCAATAGTAAAAATCGCATAAAATATATGTGTGAATAATAATAAAATAATAATAAAAAGTAATAAGAACCGTCATAGTATTTTTCATTATAATACCTCATATTTTATACAATTTTTACTATTATATCTGAACGCAACGTGTACTGAAAATAATCCAAATCAAGAATCAAACGTTTATTGTTATGCGAGAATGTATACATGTGACCATCTAGTGTTAGTTCTTATAGATATTTTATAATATATATTCTTTTAATTTACATTCTTCACATAAATTATTCATTTTGTTCACTTGCACTAATAATAAGTTGCAATATTCTATATTTTGTAATATTTTGTATCGTAGAATAATATTTAATTAGAATTAAATATTATTCTACGAATTAAAAAATTATTTTGAATTGTTTTAAAATCTGTTTTAAAGTCTTATAATAAAGTAAAAGCATTATATCAATAAATAATTACATCTAGAAAATATCATATTATAAATTATTCATGCAAAATTCATATTTACTTATTTAAAACAATCAGTAATGTGACATACGAAAAAAATAAGTATAATCGTTTCTCAAAATTTGAGATAAAAAATCTGAATTATTTTATCATTAAATTAAAAAATACGATTTAATGGAAAATAGAAAAATAGTTTGATCCTGAAAAACTGTATTAATTATAATCATACGTAAGTATTATAATTCTTACGTAAGTTTATTCAACGTTCTTTTAGCCGAGAAAAAAATAATTGTAATTATATAATCTTAACTAGGATCTCACGAAATTCATTTAGTATATCGCATGCAATTATTCGTACAATTCAAGAGGAATTCCAAAATATTGTTATCACCATTCCATAATATTGTTAAAACACCTAGAAACACTTATCAAAAACGCAAGTACAATAAAGTATATTATCACGTTCATTTAGATTGCATACACGTTTTGTAATAAAAAATCACTCGTTATGCTATAATTAGCGAAAGAAAATTATAGCACAATGCGTATTATTTAATTCAATATCATGTAAGAATCTTTTTTGTTTATTTTTTATAATTAAGATATAATTAGCGAAAGAAAATTATAGCACAATGCGTATTATTTAATTCAATATCATGTAAGAATCTTTTTTGTTTATTTTTTATAATTAAGAAGTAACTTCGCTCTGTCTTATTATTAAATATTTTTATATTATATTATTTTATATTATTATAATAATCTCTCAATATTCGATAGGTCTTATTTATTCATGTAAATATTAATTGCTTATAACAAATATTTTATTAATGGTTATAAAGCAATTATTTATATCTGTAAATTATATTTATCAATCTTATAATTATAATTTATCAATCTTGTATATTAGAATCTATTGCATAATTGCGCTCACTAACAAAATCTTCGATTTTGAAGCCTATTTTTGTTGTATCTTAGATGAAATATAGTAATACAGCAACAAAAATAGGCTTACCCTACCCGTAAAAGATCGTAAATTAATAAATATTATAATTATTATATTGCGAATAAATAAGAGAATCCGGTAATTATCTGTAAGGGATATTTAAAAAATAATTAAAGATACAAAATTTGAACTATGTATTAATTACCATTTGTGATTTTCATATGTTAAATTCTGATAGTATTTACTCAAACTGCGACATTCGTTCGAGGTACTTTCGAAAGTTCATAATTTGCAAAATTATTTATAAAGCACTTAATGGACAATTAAAGAGAGAAGATAGAATACGATAAATTCACAACAGGCTAGAGACAAAAACACTTTTTCGTTATATATTTACTTAAATGTGATAGATCGGTTTTTAAGAAAATCATTTGAAGAGATATAACTTATGAGAGAGATATATATAACGCTCAAATTAATAATTTTCAGAAATCTTCATCGTTTCGTGAAAATTGCGTGAAATGAAAGTGAAAAGGAAAAATTGTTCCAAAATCAACCGCGCGATTTTCGAGAGACGAACATCAAGAGGACTCCGTGTCGATAAACACAGTATGCACTAGTAGAGCATATATACAAAAAAAAAATAATGTTCGATGCGTTTTTGAAAGAAGTAAGAGTTTCATAAATGACACAATAGCGCTGTAGCTGAAGAGAAAGACGGTTATAGTTTCTATTTTAAAGATTATATTTTTTTAACTTTATTAATTTTTGACTTCCACGTACATGTATATATAAATAAATAAATATATA